ACGAACGAACGTACGAACGAACGAATGAATGAATGAAAAATAAAAGTATAAATGGATGAAGAAAAATAAAAATAAAATAATTTATTAATCAGCCAATAGCAATCAGACAACACGGCCTATAAATTTTTAACTCCTCCCACAGGCCAACCGGCCAGCCAATAGAAAGACTCACGTGCATAAGCAACAGACCAATGATGAACGAGCTACCCTGGCAATAACCAACATCACGATCGTAGACTGAATAAGCCTTAGCCACGTTGTACAGATTTTCTTGACCTTCGCCCCACGTGACCTTGAGGTCATTGACACATTTAATTTGATTGGTTGGTGAGTGGATGACAAAACTAGTTTGATTGGTTGATGAGTGGAAGACAAAACAAATTTGATAGGCTGGTGAGTATCCAATTAATTCTAATTGGTAATTGTAATTGGTTGTAAACGAACCAACTAATTGAAATGATTGGTTGGACCGTGAATGACCCAATTAATGTGATTGGTTAATGAGTGGATAAATAATCTATTGGGACACAAATAGTTAATTAATACATTTTAATAAATAAGTCAGTCAGTCGGTTGGCAGTAAATCAATCGTTTAACCAATCAACCAAAAAACCAACCAATCAATCAATTATTCATCAATCAATTATCAAGCAAATTAACTAACCAATCAAGCAATCACTCAACCAGCCAATCAATCAAACAATCAACTAACAAACCAATCAATTAACCAACCAATCAACCAACCAATCAATCCTCCAACCAACCAACCAACCAACTTTAAACATTTCGTGTTTGGGATAAGTCCTGGCAATATCCCTAGCTATGGTTTTTTCGAATGATGATGGTAACTTCAAAAGATCCATATAAGACAAGGTTTGTATATTCTGCTGTCGCAACAACTTTAACTGATGTGAAAACTTCTGCTGTTGTTGTTGATGTTGTTGTTGATGTTGTTGTTGTTGTTGTTGATGTTGTTGTTGATGTTGTTGTTGTTGATGTTGTTGTTGTTGATGTTGTTGTTGATGTTGTTGTTGTTGATGTTGTTGTTGTTGATGTTGTTGTTGATGTTGTTGATGTTGTTGTTGTTGATGTTGTCGTTGTTGATGTTGTTGATGTTGTTGATGTTGTTGTTGTTGATGTTGTTGTTGATGTTGTTGTTGTTGTTGTTGCTGCTGCAAAAAAACAGGTACTTCAACATTATTAATGCTGTCAGCATTAGTTGTAGTAGTTATTGTTGTAGTTGTAGTTGTTGTTGTTGTTGTAGTTGTTGTTGTTGTATCTGTTGCATTTTCGATCACGTCATCCTCATCATCATTCAATTTGATACTAATTTTTGTTGATGGCAACAATGTTGATGCTGTTGTTGTTGGTAGCAATGATGTTGACGTCGTCGTTGATGTTGCTGCAGATGTTGATGTTGATGTTGTTGCAGTTATTGTTGTTGCAGATGTTGCTGCTATTGTTGCAAATGTTGCTGCTATTGTTGCAAATGTTGCTGTTGGTGTCGAAAAAGTTGCTGTTGTTGTCGCAAATGTTGCTGCTATTGTTGCAAATGTTGCTGTTGTTGTTGAAAATGTTGTTGTTGTTGTCGCAAATGTTGCGGCTGTTGTTGCAGATGATGATGACGATGATGATGTTGATGTTGTTGATGATGTAGCTATTGGCAGTGGAGCTGGTGCTCTGGCAGTGCTGATAGCAGAGATAGACATTGACTTCTTGTGCCATTTTGAAAAATCATTCTTCTCAAATGTTGCCGAAGTTTTCAGCGAAGGAAATGAGCCTGAGAGTAAAAAGCAAACACGATTCTGATGATGATGAGAAATGCAAAAACATCATCTTCATTAGCATCGTCGTCGTCATCATCATCATCGTCATCCTTATCAGCATCATCATCACCATCAGTTGTAACCCTAATCGTTATCACCAACATCATCATCATCATCGTCATCGTTGTGGTTGCAACTCTAACTCAACAATGACTATCATCATCATCAATATCACCATCATCATCATCACCAATATCACCATCAACATCATCATAAATACCACCATCATCATCATCATCATCAACACTACCATCATCATCATCATCGTCATAAACACCATCATCATCATCACCAATATCACCATCAACATCATTACCATCATCATCATCACTATCACCATCATCATCACCATCATCATCAACATCACCATAGTGATGATAATAATAATAATAATAATAATAATAATAATAATAATAATAATCAACAACAGTGACCAACCCATGTCGACGCTTTGGACATACTGACCCTCCTCTTGACATTCATCATCATCACCATCGGCCTCATCGCCGTGACGTCATCGCTACTATTATCATCATCGTTACTGGCATCGTTATCAGCAGAGTCGTTTGAGCCTATGGTAAATAGATAATAATAATAATTAATTATTATATATATTTATATATTATATTAATTATTATATATTATAATTATCTTTATAATGATTAATTAATTAAAACATGAAAATATTTCACACATACATACATACATACATATACACATACACACACATACATATACACATACATATACATACATAAACACATACATACACACATATATACATACACATACATACATATACACAAACAAATAATATTGTAATCTTTAATCTGCCTGAAAATTAGTATGATGTTAACAGAGTCAAGAATCTTATTAGGAAGTTGTCGAGTAATATACTAATAATACAACGCATACATACATACATACATACAAACACACACATACAAACACACACACATACAAACACACATACATACATACACACACACATACAAACACACACACATACATACACACACACCACACACACACATTATAGTGTGTTTAGTTGTAGCAAATTTCCTAAATTAAATCCATTAGCAATATTTAAACATATAAGACACACACACACACACACACACACATCACATCCTCATCATTATTAACATCACCATCATCATCATCAATATCACCATCACCACCATCATCATCATCATCATTAACATCATCATCAATATCACCATCATCATCATCATTAAAATCATCACCATCATTAAAATCATCACCATCATCATCAATATCACCACCATCATCATCATTAACATCATCATCAATATCACCATCACCATCATCGTTAAAATCATCACCATCATTAAAACCATCACCATCATCATCCCCAAAAAACACCTTTCCTAATGACAAGCAGTGGCCGGCCTTCGTCGCGAACTCCACTCACCAGCTGCCACACCAGGCCCCTCAGTGGATCTGGGATCGACCAGTCCTGTTTAAAAATGTCTCCCGCAGTTTGCCGAAGTTTAGCGAGCCTCTGCGGCTTCTTGTGGTCCTTCTCTGACGATTTTGCGTTCCATTTGGTTATTAGTGAAACCCACATTTCCCATGATTGTTTGTTTTCCATTTGAGATGTTGTTGATGTTGTTGCTGGTGCATTGTTGGCGTATTGTTGGCTCTGATCCTCTTGGTGATAGTAAGAAGATTGTTGTTGTTGCTGTTGATGTTGTTGTTGTTGTTGATGTTGTTGTTGTTGCTGTTGTTGATGATTGTTATCTCTGTAGTTAGGCAGTTGATTGTTATAGTTAATCATCGTTGATGATGTTGCGTTCTGGTTGGCCTTACAAAATACAGGGCTAATTTCCAAACTGTTCGGAGTTCTGTTGTTGGTGGTGGTGGCGAAGTTGTTGTGGCTACTGTTGCTGCTGTGGTTAGTGAAGTTGCTGCTGCTGCTGCTGTGGTTAGTGAAGTTGCTGCTGCTGTGGCTAGTAAAGTTGCAGCTGCAGTTGTTAGATGCATCAAAGTAATTCGATGACGCTGACGTAGATGAGAGGTTCGATAGTAGGCTGGATGTCGAATTCTGCCTCGAATGTTTTTTGAAGAAACTAGAGGTCGTGGGTGCCTTTATGTCTTCTGCCAGTTTCCTAATTAGCATATTATAATTAACATATTGTAATTAACATATTGTAATTAACATATTGTAATTAACATATTATAATTAACTAATTGTAATTAACATATTGTAATTAACATATTGTAATTAACATATTATAATTAACATATTATAATTATAAAAATAATAATAAAATGAAAAAAATCTGGAATTTTTAGTAAGAATTGAACCTTACAATTAACATATTATAATTAACATATTATAATTAACATATTATAAATAACATATTATTTTCATGTTTTAATTAATTAATCATTATAAAAATTATAATTATAAAATAAAAAAAATACAAGAATTTTTAGTAAGAATTGAACCTTTTAAAGTTCAAAAGAGAAACTAAGTATCAAATATGGAAAATATCATTATAATAATTTTTATTATTATTATTGAAAGATTAAAATAAAAAGTTTATTTAATTCTCAGAATTATCTCTAACTCGTTTGCCTGTTCGAGTTTTCTTAATAGCTCCAACTGTTCGGCGTCAAGTGTCGTCGGCCCATCCATAATTATATTTTAAATTAATTATAATATAATTAATCTAGGTAATTATAGATGATTCTAAGAATTTAATCAACTTTTTTTTTTAAATTCCTTCAATTATTTATTTATTATAGTTTATTGATTAAGCCACCACTTAGAATTATTGCTGTTGCTAATTCCAACATTAATCACTGTGATGTTGGTTTTACTGATTCCAGATGAACTGGACATCATCATACTCATCACCGAAAACTTCAACAAGTGTTTGTCGGTTTTACTAATTTCATCATCATATCTGAATAGCGCTAGAACTCTTATCGAGGTCGTTGCAATAAAAAACATATTTACGATCAGAGCAATTTACTAAATCACACTTACATAATGACATCTTGTTATTCTTATTAGTATTAATATACCCTTTTGAAATATAATATATAAAAATAACATAACATATAAATATATAATATAATTATAATAATATATTTTTCCATATATAAAAATATAATATAATTAATATATTATATTTTTATACTTTGTATTATTTTTATCATTTATATATCATGTATATACCACCAGTGCAGTGAGTAGCTACATTAGATAGAATTTCGATTAAATAATTAAATTATATTATTATTATATTCACTAATTAATTATGTTATTGTTAAAATGTTAGCTTATCAATCATCTTGCTGATGAATGATCAATTAATAAATATTATTTTAAATAAATAGTAGTTAACTGTTAAATAAAGTAATGTGGGATAAAACTTTATGATTATGACATGAAAGTTTAATCATGTTAATTTAATAAATTTAATTTTAGTTTAAAGTTTAAACTAAATTTCAATTTTTTAAAACTTTATTTAATTCAATAAAAAGTTAAAACTAATTTTCAGGGTCAAATTTTAAGTTTTTTGTTTAATTTAATATAGTCTTGAAGATTCAGTTTTTAAATTTAAAACATAGATCAACAATTATATGACAATAAAATATTATTGCATTTGTGTGGTATGATTGAAAATGGATTTATTAAATTTTTTTTTAAATTTAAATTTTAAACGAAACAATTTTTTGGGGTGTGGTTTAAAAGTCCTTGAAAAACACCAAAAAATTAAGCTAAAATTAATTAATATTATAAATTTAAAAAAAGGCAAATAAACAAATAAAAAACAAATTAGGTTGTCATTGTTACAAAATTCATCGTTCTATTTTTAATTAAAATCGCCGTTTTATTTGATATCGGAGATTTAAATTTTAAATGGCAAAAAATTATGGAAAATCCCTTAAGATAGTAAACAAACATTCAAATTAAATAAATGCAGGTACATAATTAATTTTATGGAAAGTCGTTAAAATTTAAATAACATTAAAACCAAGAGAAGGCCTATTTACCAATATTCAACAATATATATATATATATATATTATGGATATGGCAGACTCATTATATATATATGCATTGTTTATACATGAGGTCAAGGTCAATCTAACAAATTTGTTACATAGAATCGCTATATTTGTCGAAAAGTGAATTTTAGTTAAAGTTAAAGTAAACAATCAGTTTTTAACTGATTGCTCAGCGATTATCGTCTAAGTTGCTTTTTTCATTTCTATAAACTTAGTTATCAAATCGGTTAGTTGAAAATAAAATGATTTAAGATTTTGATTCCGGAAAATTTATGACAAATGTATTGATGCTTATATTTATTTTAATATTGACATTTATACATTTTGTTCAATTTTTCTGAAATGAAACTTTTTTGGATGATCAATCAATCAATCAATCCATCAATCAATGATCCTCCTTTGTCCATCGGGGGACCGTCGAGGCCGATGGTGTACATCTAAGCATGCTTTTCACATTTATTTTTTTCCTTTTTTCATTCCAAAAACCTTTTCTATCTTTAGCCAGTTTTATTGAACCAACACCAGTCCATTCAATAATGTCGTCTATTTATTTTTTGCAGGTCTACCAACTTTTTTCTTCCCCGAACTGACATGAAGATGATTCGTTGGATGTAGCATGTTGACCTAAGAGACCATATCCATACAACCGATATCCTGAACCGATCGGGACTGTGCACGTTGAAGGATGCATGTCGTCGTCATCGCCTACGATGGTTTGGCCATGTGAAGCGAAGCGAAAACAATACAATAATTTCTGTTACTGAACACCAGGTGCCTGGCACCCGCCCAAGAGGTCGCCAAAAAAGTCTTGGACGCAGACCATACAGGAGAACTTGGTCTCAAGGAGACAGACGCAATGGATAGATCGGCTTGGAGACAGAAACTGATGAATGGAATAAAAAAGTCCGACCCATAACGGATGGAGACTATAAACGAGAATTGATTGATATATATATGTGTGTGTGTATGTGTGTGCGTGTGTTCGAAACTGTTTTTCAAGGTTATATGCGATTAAGTTGCTCATTCAATCTCGTCATCATCTTCGCTATCAGCCCAGCTGAATTCATCATTCTGAAACAGAAAATTAAAGTGAATTATAGTAAATTATATCATTTAGGAAGTATTAGAAACATTTTAATGAAACTAGCACCATTTTTTATCAACTTTAAATTATCAAATACACACACACATACACAAACCCGAAAACAACCAAGGCTTCTTATCAGATACTCATTAAGCTGTTTACTCGTCCTTAATTTCTTCTCCACCACCTTGTAAGCCATATTGAGGTGCACATATTTAATTAACCTTCTTCTGTAACTTTTTTTCAAATTTTTGGCCATCAGACGCATCTGTTTAATCTTTTGCTCTATTGTGAATGAACTTGCGAAATAGCTGTGGTCCTGAGGAGAGGAAAATGATGAAAAAATTTGAATATAATTTGTGAAAGTTATATTTTTTGATGGCTTTGCTCAACCAATGTTTATGACGCCCTGTTGCATTGACTGGCTGAGTTTAAATGCAAAAAGTCGTTAGTGGGTTGTATATGCACGAGGGAGACTCCATTTTTAAATTATTTAGTAGAAATATCAAAATTTTTTAAATAAAATACAGTAAAATATAATGAAAATAAACATATAAATGATATTATTTTACAACTAAATCAATTGGGAAAATATATGAAAATCTTAAATGCTAGCATGCGAGATAGATTTGTATGTCTCTACTGTTAGATGCATTGTGTGCGAACTTTCCATAGAAACCTGAACAAACAATTTATGCATTATAGTTACGGATTGAATTGTATTATTAACATCACCATGAGTTGTAATTAATGTTTGGTAGTATTGTTATAATATTAAATGGTATTATTATTATAAGTAAGTTATAATTTTGGATTACGTGGTTTAGTCATGGGGTATTGCTGCTGTAATTTAAATGATCAATTATTATTATTATCACAATATAGTGTAATTTAAAATGTAACATACCTCTTCTGGTGACATATAATCAGGGTTTTCTTCAACTTTGTAGTCAATCTTAAAAAAGAATTGCATGCAATTCAGTCAATCAATCAATCATTTAATCAACCAATTATTCAATTAATCAAATTTTATAAAATGTTTTTCAAACCAAACCGTTTCATCTTGTTCAACAGTATCAATATCAATTTCTTCAACTTTGTAGTCAATCTTATAAAAGGATTGCATGCAATTCAGTCAATCAATCAATCATTTAATCAACCAATTATTCAACCAGTCAATCATAAATCAATCAATCAAATTTTATAAAACGTTTTTCAAACCATTTCATCTTGTTCAACAGTATCAACATCAATTTCTTCATCTTCTATCTATAATTTTTTTTTATTTAAAAAATATAAAACAGCAAAAGTAATTGATAATATTTACAATAATAAAAATTAAATATACATACCTTAACTTCCACACTGTCAGGTTCAATATTGATGATAGTGACATTATATGGAACCTGAATGGGGGATATGAAAAAAATTTTATTCTATTGTGATCAAATTAATTTTGAAATTAAACCCAACACACATGAATACACGCACATCACGCACGCTAAATATACATACTGGTTTATCAGTTGAGTTTGTCTCCACCATTAATGGCGATTGTATTTCAGATAGAGTATCTGCCTGATCATTTGATAAAAGCTGAAAATGATAAATGTATTCCATTATGTGATTTGCAGGAACAAATATCTAATTAATATACTAACTATAATGTGTTAGTGTCATGCAATTAAATAATTAGTGATTCATTTTTCATGATGCATTGGTATTAATTTTAATGTTAATTTAATTTTTTTCAAACTTTTTAAATTAAAAATTGTTTGTTAGTTACAAAAAAAACAAAACCTTTGGGAATACTGTAGGAACTGAAGTTTTTTTAAGTAGCATTCTAGAACCTACTTTGTAAAAGCATTCTTGTAAAAAATGCCTGCTGCAGATGAAAATATCTTTTTTACTATAAAAATATGTAATATGATTTTCAAAATTTTTTTGCCACTGTATTCTTTGGCTGTCATCTTTTGGTAGTCTGTTCGGTTTTATTATTGAAAAAAAGCTTAACAATTTTAAGTTAAAATTTTATAATTATTGTTATATATACATACATACATACCTATGTAAAGTTACGTCGATATCTTTATAAGACCCATGACATTGGGATATTGAGCACATGGGCATGGTTAAACTCAATGTATATAAAATAATTAAATAAATAAATAAATAAACAATTATTTAAATGTTATGTTATAAAAACGAAAACTTCGTGTAGACGATTAAATACAAAAAAGTAAAACAATGCAATGTCAACCAAGGCGAAGAAATGTTTACGCGCCAAATTATGTTCTCTTTATTCCACAGAACTAAGAAAAATTAATAGCCAGGTAAACATCTTTATGCCATATCATACAATATCCATGTATGCAACACTTTCTTATGGGTTGAAGCAGGGATATGCAAAGAACCTCAATTTTTCAACTTTTAATTATTTTCGGTAATGTCGATTTTATTTTTTTAAATTTTTACCAAATAAAAGTAATTAATTACCACATTGAATAATATTAAAAAAATTAAAATTTAAAACCTTTTGAAACATTTTAAAAAGCAATAATCCGAAATTAATAAATATACGATCGTTAATTTTGACTCGAGACTCGAACGATAAAAAATTGACCTCCATCTCTCCTCCGGAAGTACCCTCCTTGTTCGACTGTTAAAAGTAAGCAGAGGCCGTTATATTAATTCTAGTTATATGATTAAAACTTAATGTTGTATCGTATCAAAATTTACATTTTCCTAATATTATAATAAAAAATAATATAAATTTTAACAAAAATAAAACTAAAAAAATCAGTAAAACTTTTGAATATAAATTTTAAATGGTGGTTCCAACTTGTTAAGTCTTATCTCGTGTTTCATAGGCTTTTTTAAAAACTTCAACTTAGATCCACTCCTACTTTTACCTAGCGCCAAGTATTAAATTGATAGAATTTTTCCAAAATTTAAAACTTAATTAAACTGACAAAATTTTTTCCAAAATTGCCACTAATAAAACGTATTTCGTAAAATTTTCCGTCAATTATAAATACAAAATGGCCGACGATGGATCGGCTGAAGTGATGGACGTAGATGATGGAGAAAAGGTAAATATTGAGGAGGGTGAAAGTCCTAGAAGATGCGCCAGTACCTACGAGCTGCCCTGGTTAGTTAGTTAGTTTGTTAGTTATTGAAAATGAAGTTAGTAATATGAATGCTACAAAAACTTCAATCCATACTGTGTAGTCTAAAAAATGGCAGAGAAAAGAAATCAATCTTCGTTTTGCATCCAGAGACCCGGTTCCCTAAGGTAGGTAGGTAAAGAAAAGAAAAAGTTAATAAAATTAAATAAAATTAAAGTGTTAGCGAAATTGGTAATATGAATTCTGCAAAATCTTTAATCAGTACTGTGTAATCCAAAAAATGGTAAAGAAGAGAATGAGTTGAAACTTAATAAAATCAAGTAAAAATAAATTGTCAGTGAAATTAGTAATATGAATGAGGCAAAATCTGAGATCAGTTCTGTGTAATCCAAAAAATAGTAAAGAAAAGAAAGTTTTTTTAAAAAATTAAGTGAAAATCGATTGTTATAAAATAAATTTAAAAAGGTAAATTTTGGGTCATTTAGCTCCTGCCCCTTTTTAATAATCTGTTCTTGTCTTGTTATAATCTTAAAAAACGTTGTTTAAAAGCGCAATTTTTAATTCCAAGTACCTACATAATAAGATTTTGTCTATGAATTAAATATAATAGATTAACATTAAATTATTAATAAAAAATAATTATATTATTGTATATATATTAATTAATATATATATATATATATATATTAATTATTTTAATATATAAATGTCTGATTTATTCACTTATTAACAACATTTGAGACACACCTTTTGTAATATAATATCAAAACTCGCTTGCAACTTCCATGCTTTGTGGAAAAAGAAAGAAAGAGGATAGTCAGATAGATAAGACAAATATAGATAGTAGATACATGAGGATAAATAGATATATAAGATATTAGGAAGATAGAGTGGGATATCATAATTGTAGGAGATATATAATAATAACTATTTTCCAATTGTAAAGACAAGAGATGTTCTTTGAAAACATTTAGTTAGGTTCTGTGCTGCTCGGCTCTATCAATAAACTAAATATAAAAGTTGTGTTATAAATTATTCCTCAGGTATCGTTGTTCACATTTGTTGGTATTTCTCTCTCTCTCTCTCTCTCTCTCTCTCTCTCTCTCTCTCTCTCTCTCTCTCTCTCTCTCTCTCTCTCTCTCTCTCTCTCTCTCTCTCTCTCTCTCTCTAGTATAAGTGTTTTATACCAACCATTCAAAAAAGCCAAATAGCACATCTGAGTTTTCAACAAATTTGATAGCTATACCTCATCTAGTAGTAATGAAAACCAACTTGAGGCCAAACAACTTCATTAAAGTTATCAACTGTCTTTATTAGCCATAGTATGACAACAGCTTTGCATTTATTTTGTTAACACTTCTCTTCAATTTCATGTCTGAATGAATCAATTGTCAACTTCATATCAGGATCGAGAAATACAGGCCCGTCCTCCTGAAAGATGTCGTCGGGAACGAGGAGACGGTGAGCAGGTTGGAAATTTTTGCTCAAGAGGGGAATGTGCCTAACATCATTATATCTGTGAGTTCTTCTGTCTGTGAGTGTGTGTGAATGTGTTTGTGTGCAAGTATTTTTGTGTGTGTGTATGTGTGTCTATGTGTGTTGTGTATATATGTGTGTAGTATGTATGTGTGTGTGTGTGTATTTGTGTGCATGTATTTTGTGTGTGTGTGTTTGTGTGCATATTTTGTGTGTAGTATATATGTGTGTGCGTGTGTGAGTGTTTGGTTCTTATTTCTGTGTAGTATGTATGTATGTATATATATATATATATATATATATATATATATATATATATAAATAAAACGACGAGCATATTGTGCCTGGCTCGCACCTTGTGTGTGTAAGTGTGTGTGTGTGTGTGTAAGTATGTGTGTTTGTAATATGAATAATATAATAATGTGTTATATATAGAGTTCATGAGTACAGACATATATAAAGGATAAAATTGAGGAAATGTATGCCACATTTACATTAGGGACCTCCAGGTACTGGCAAAACAACGAGCATATTATGCCTGGCTCGCACCTTATTGGACGGTTTTTTTAAGGAGGCGGTGCTTGAACTGAATGCGTCCAATGATAGGTGGGTAGATGGGTGGAGGTGGAATTAGGGTTTTTTTATTTTTAGGTTTGATTAATTGATTGATTGAATGAGTGAGTGAATGAATGATCAAATGAATTATTAAATGATTGAATGAGTGAAAGAGTGTATGAATGATTAAATGAATTAATAAATGATTGAATGGGTGAATGAGTGAATGTATGTATAAATGAATGAATGAATGATCAAGTGAATTATTAAATGATTAAATGAGTGAAAGAATGAATGAATGTATTTATAAATGAATGAATGATCAAATGAGTTATCAAATGATTGAATGAGTGTATGATAGGATGTATGAATGAATTTATCGTTTATTGAATCATCTATTCCATATATTATTTCATATTATTCATAATATTTGAGTTAATTAAGAACAATTATTAATTATAATTAATAATGAATAATTTGGAATGATAATAATTTGTTTCATAATTCCATCTCCAGAGGCATAGATGTAGTGAGGCATAAAATAAAGATGTTTGCCCAGAAGAAGATAACACTCCCCCCATCAAGACATAAGATTATCATTCTAGATGAAGCCGATAGGTTAGACTTCGATGTTATTTTTTCTCTGCCTGTCTGTCTGTTTGTTTGTTTGTCTGTCTGTCTATCTGTAGACGAAGCCGATAGGTTAAGCTTTGGTGTTATTTCTTCTCTGTTTATCTGTTTGTTTGTCTGTCTGTTTGTTAATTCATTAATTTGTCCTTCCATTTCTTTGTTCATTCATCTATTAATTCGCTCTTCATTTATTTATTTATTCATTCAATTATTTATTCACTTTATTATTTGCCCATCTATTCAATCATTCATCCGTCCATTTATTCATTCAAGTCAATCACTCATTCATTCATTCTTTCACTCATTAATTAATTCATTCACTCATTCATTCATTCATTCATTCATTCATCTTACAACAAACACTCATTCGTTCATCTTACAACAAACACAAACAAACGAACAAACAAACAAACAGCATGACAGATGGCGCCCAACAAGCCTTAAGAAGGACGATGGAACTCTACTCGAAGACCACGAGATTTGCTTTGGCTTGCAATTCCTCTGAGAAAATTATAGGTATTATATTATTTATTTCATATATAATTTATTTCATAATTATTACATAATATAATTAATTATAGGTTGGATATAAATATTTATTTTATAATAAATAATAATTACTATGATTTCCTGTTCTTAATTGAGGAATTATTGTGGCTTATTATTTTTTAATAAAATTTGTTTCAAATTTTTCACTTCATACAATTAGCATCATCAATCAGTCAATCAATTGCTTATTTATTAAAATTCTATGGATAACTATTGATATAATTAGCACCGGTTTTTTTTTTTCATCGAAACTCCTCCCACAATTTCAGAACCTATCCAATCGCGTTGTGCTGTACTCAGATACTCAAAGCTAACAGACCAACAGGTAATTAGCATATATACAAACAAACATACATACATACTCACACACATACAAACAAACACACATATACATACATACAAACACACACACACACATATACATACATACATACAAACAAAGCAACACACATATACATACATACAAACTAACCAACACACACACACATATACATACATACAAACACACACACACACATATGTGCATACATACAGGTCCTAGCAAGATTATTAGATGTATGTGAACAAGAACAGGTCAGTCACACAGATGATGGATTGGAGGCCGTCATTTTCACCGCTCAGGGAGACATGAGACAGGTTAGAGAGAGAGAGAAATAATAAAAGGATGTCTGAGAGAGAGAGAGAGAGAGAGAGAGAGAGAGAGAGAGAGAGAGAGAGAGAGAGAGAAAGCATTTGTATTGTGAGAAAAAATGAATAGAATGAAGAATGGATGTGGTGTGGTGTTTGTGTATCGTGTGTGTGTGTGTGTGTGTGTGTGTGTGTGTGTGTGTGTGTGTGTGTGTGTGTGTGTGTGTGTTAGAGAGAGAGAGAGAGAGAGTTTTAAAAAATAAGAACAAAAGGGTGTGCGTCTAGGGTGTTCCTTCCTTCGTTTGATGAATTATTTAGAAAAATTATTTTGAGTGTCAATATTTGAATGGGCATCAGGCGTCGTTGAGTTTCATGAAAAATACGAAAATAAAAGAAAAGAAAATTCGCCCGCCATGTTAGTGGTTCTGCCTCGTTTTGGACTTTTGAATTTTTCAAAATTTTACAGACCTAACTAAACTGGAGGCTCAAAATAACATAAAACTCAAACTTCAAAAGAGTTTTTTTCATTTGAGTTAGTAGAATAACTCGTAAGAACACAAGACAAACGGACCAGATTTTATAACGAACGACAAAAATTAGAGATTTGTGTCGGGTTTGATTCGAGTATGAGAAAATAATCCCAGCCTACCACATGCTTCGTCTGTGGTGCGTCCCTCTTGTGCCCATTGTTGGTTCCTTCGGACCTAAAATGGGTGTAATTGACCTTTGACCTTTTTTTTTACCCTTTCTCGCTAACGATGCCAAGACGCTTGAAGTTATAAACTCTGTATCTGTTGGGGTCATGGTAGTTTAAAATTCTGTTTAAATTTTTCATTCATTCATTCATTCATTCATTCATTCACTCTTGGAGTGTAGCTATAAGTGTAATGTAAAACTGAATGTTGGTAGATATGGTGGTCATGTGATTTTGAGGGGGTATGGATGTCCATGGATATATATCATGGATATATACATGGGTATATCATGAACATATATGGATATAACATGGATATGTATCCATGTGATGTATCCAACAGTATCCTCACAATTTCTAATGGATTACTACATAAATAGTATCTCAAAACTTTATTTAGAGGGAGTGATCAAGTTTTTGATAATATAATAGGCTTGGAGGTACTTCTTGATAAATATTCGATGACATAGGTCAGGGGTGAGCAAACTACGGCTATTTTATGCGACCCGCGAGGCTTTGTTCGCCAAAAAAGCCGTCAGTCAGACATTATGACCAAAAAATAAGCCACAAATCTTAAAAAAAATTTCCCCCGGGTCGAAAAAGTTTGCTATTTAAGTACATATGCGACCCTTCAAAGGTCAAATAGTTCTCAATGCGGTCCTCACAGCAAAAAGTTTGCCCACCCCTGAGATAGGTGATTGTGTTATAAAACTTCGTTCGAGATAATTATTCTTATTTGGGTTTTTAATTTATTTTTGGTTTTTAATTGATTTTTATATCAATGATTTTTAACCTGTTAACGTTTTTTAAAATAATAATTAAATAGTTGAATAAATTATACTCTAATAATAAAACAATTAATTAATTCTTTAGTTAATTAATTAAAATGATAAGTAATTGATAAAATAATTGAAATCTTCGAATAAGGCGTTGAACAACCTGCAGTCCACGTACCAGGGGTATGGTCATATTAATAGTGAGAATGTTTTCAAGGTTAAGATTTATTGTGTCAAATATATAAATTTATTCAATTAATTAATCGTTGAGTTAATTGATCATTTATTTGTTTTTTAATGTCAAACAATTAATTTATTTATTAGTTAAATTAATGAATTATTTGTTTGTTGGTTCGCTCGTTTATTGGTTCGTTCATTTGTTGGTCGTTTGTTTCTTTGCTTGTTTGTTGATTCGTTCGTTTGTTTATTTAATTATTCTATTATTAAATCCTTTATTTCGGAGGCGAACAAACGTTGCATGTTAATTACAAGAGTTAATTTTAATCTAATTAATTTAATTACAAATTAAATGTCTTGCTAGGACCACATTCATTGAAGGAAGTTGCGGCTTTCGAAGGCGCGCATATATAGACTGGCGAATTTAGACAACTTTGATGGGCTTATAATTTTTTTTGTTCTTTATTACGCAGCTCTGACAAACTCAGAACCGCCTACCTCCATATCATCCCTGTAGTTAAATCTTCCTTCGACAAGGTTGTACTATTCACATCACACGGCGTACACACACATATGCACGCTCAAGCACCGCATCATGGCGTATGATAGTCTTTAAGTTTCGGACCGACGGTATTCGAACCAGGCCATCGCGTAACTGTACGAGACATGACACACTTCTACCGACTGAGCTAACTCACCGACTAAGTTTGTCTATAATGTAAATTTCCCCTTCAAAAACACTAATTTTTCCATTAAAACAACAACTTTTACTAACTTTTAACACCAATAACGCTCACAGCGGGCCAGTGCCTTTCCTCCCACCCAGATCCGCCACTGTATATAGCCAATATATCAATCTCCGTTTAGTAAGTTGTGTAAGACGTATATAGCCAATATATAATTATAAGTAAGGAAAAATGTTTCTTCACAAAAGCATATAGGTAGAATATAGACACAAATGTTGAAAAAGTTTGGCAACGAAGTATTTAAAATTTAAATACTTCATTTAAATTTTAAATCAGCTTAGACAAGGAAAAATGTAAGAATTGACGAAAGTACAATACTCTTTAAGCACACACTTTTTTGAAATTTTGGTTTCCAATTAAATATTTAAATTAAAGTGTAAAAAAAACCCAATAAATAATTTTGCTTACGTGAAATAGCCGTTTGCCCGCCTTTGATTTATTTAGTTATTCACTCTTACATCTGTTTGATTTAAAAAAAAATTATTTAAGTAGATAAATGAAAAAGTAATAAGACCATTTATTTTGGTTGCTCTTCACGTGCTCTCATTCAGGTGTGTGACGAGCCGCACCCGCTGCTGATCAAGGACATGTTCAAGCAGTGCATGGCTGCCAATGTTGATGAGGCCTTTCAAGTTGTCAATCATCTTCATAACTTAGGTCGGAGATTAACTAGTTTTTAGATCTTTCTTTCCATTTTTTCTTTTTTATCTCTTTCTTCCTCTTCTCTCTCTCCCCCACCCCCTCTCTCTCTTTCTTTCTCCTCTCTCTCTTGTTAATGAGGTTAGGTTCTTTAGGCTATTTTTATTGCCTGCTGATATTGTATGAATAATTTTATAAATATCGGATCCAGTGGTGAGAGGTTATCTTTTATAAAACTTCCTGCTAGTGAGTTTGAGGTAAATGGATCTTGAGATTTTTACCTATTAGCATTGAGATCACTTACACATGAAAATATGACAAAATCAACTGAAAAATGTAGATTTGTTTTCATCCATTAAGCGCATTTGAAACTTCAATTTGTCGCCAGTTATATGATGAACTTGGATAATAGTTCTATTTGCAATAAATTGAACAATCTCCAGAAAATTCTAGTAAGGAAAAATGGAAAGAAACTTTATATTGATTAATGCCAACAATTCGGTAGAATTCATACAATATTGTATATATATATGTATGTATATATATATATATATGTTTGTGTGCGTGTGTGTGTATGTATAATTATTTACTAATTAGTTAATTAATTTATTATAGGCTACTCGGCAGAAGACATAATATCAGTGATATTTCGAGTTTGCAAAACACACCAAGACATACCTGAATACCTGAAGCTTGAATACGTCAAGGTATTTATTCCGGATTGTCGGATCAGATATTAATGTCGGAGTGGGATATATTTCCGCCTTAATTTATTCCATTAAATAAATTAATATTTATAATATCTATATAACTGTTTTTATGATAATTTTCAAGTATAATGATTATAATACGATCTTTTATATATATCGGTTATATTTGAACCTGATTACTGTGTAACAAGAACAGGCGACCTTTACCGCTAGGCCATTGATGATTAACAGATTGATTGATTGATCAATTAATTGATTGATCGATCAATTAAATGATTGATTGATCAATTAAATGAATGGTTGGCTGATTTATTAAATGATTGATTGACCAGGAAATAGGATTAACCCACATGAGAATAGCACAAGGCCTCGACACTGTACTTCAATTAAGTGGACTTGTTGCTAGACTATGCAAAAAGACTCTCAAAAAACCTATTATTAAGTAATTCTATTATTACTATAATAATAATTATTATTTTATTATTATTAATATTTTATTATAATTATTATTATAATAGTAATTAATGTTATAATTACTACATTTATTTATTTTTTTTTGTAAAGAACAGTTTTGAATGTTTTATAAGCAAATCAATAAAAATTATTTTTGGCATTCGTATTTCATTTTTTTACATCATAAAAATAAAATGAATCACAGTTATACAGTTAGTTTGCAAGAAACATACAAAATATACACATTTCACAGAATAATTAAGCTATACACGGCAGGACAAATAGTTAAATGGATGTATAATAGATTGTAAAATGGCATTATCACTAATAAAAGGTAGAAATATCAGTAAAGAAAAATATTCACGTATGTGATAAAATTATCTAAATAAAAAATTTGAATTAATTCAAAAACATTCAAAGACAATCATGTTGAACATTGGATAAAAAATATATGGAATCTGTGGAAGTGCTATTCAGTTAATGTTAATTCATTAACAGTTAATGATTAACTGAACATGTTATTATATTTAAGTTTTTATTTATTATTGTATTTATTTAGTTTCTTTTTTAATTCTATTGAATGAGGAATATATCAGGTCCAGTATAGTATAGAGCAACATATTCAAGTCCTTCTTTGAGTTCGTGTTTGGAGTCTTTGATATTTTCAAAGGACTTCTCGGTCTGGTCCAACGGACGGCTCTGCAGAAGCCAGATTCCCGTGGGGCCGAGAGAAGATCTCTGCCTCTCCGTGATGTACACGCAGGCGTAGTTCGTTGTGGTGCCTTCCGGGAAATAGATCGTGCCGAACTGCTGTCGCTGCCGTTCGGACGGATCGGCCGATCCTTCCTTCCTTTCTAATTTTTGAAGAGAAACCTGGAAAAATAATACATGATAGTGAGTGAATATTTGAATAACATGGGTTAGTAAAGTTTAAGATTAGAAAAAAAATTAATAACGGGACAAACTTCGCTACTCAAAGATTTTAAGGTATCTAGCTAAATTCTAGAATATATATTTATATAATTATGATACTCACTGGAATGTGAACAGAATCAGGAATGTCCATTTTCAGTGCGCGGTACCCGGATTTTAAAGTAAGTTAGATGAGAATGGCAAGCAAGAAACTGGCTGAATGAGTTGTTGACTATTAGTTGACAGTCGATAGGTGGCAGTAAGATTTTGTTTGGTTTTATCTTATTTCAGCTGATAAATTTTCGTTAATAAAAGGTTTGAAATGTTAAAAAATTGTTACGATTTTTGTCTAATATTTTTAAATTGTTTGTTTTAATTTTGAAGAAATATAAATCATTAAAAGTATATAAATGTAGAAATGCATTGCCATCTTTCGACGCTTTTTAAAAGCGTTACTCCACTTAGCTTCATTCTGTCTGATCTACTGACAACTTTTGGTGAAAGAGGAGATTTAAATTCCTTTCCTTAGCAAACTTCATTTTAATTTTAGTTAAAATATATGGTTTATGGTTTTTTATTTAATAATTTTTAAATTTTTTATTATTAAAGTTAATACGAGTTAATCAAATTTTTGAAGTGAATTATTTGCCGTACAGCAGTATTTTAAATTTTATTTCAATGTTGTGCTAGGAGTTCTTGGGTTCTTTGCCGTGTTTGAGGTCAGGAAGAAATTGTTAAATTTGGTGAAAAAATTAGTCAAATTTGACAAAATGTCAGCTTTGTGCGTCAGGGCGGCATTTAAGTCCGGCCAGATGTTGTCAAGAACGTTAGTGAAAAACTCCACGAAACTTTCCGCCATTGTCGCCCAGCAGAAGATGTCCTATGCCGATATGGCGTTCACTTTTGCTTGCCCAGCCTCAGTATTTTTTTTTAAATTTACTTTTTCATTTTTTTTTAGTAAAGTTTGTCATTCGAGTTATTTGTGATAGATAAATTGTTTGATCGTTGTTTCGTTTTGTTTGGTTGTTATATTTGATTGGATTGATGATTGAATGAACTTTTTTAATGAGATGAGAGGATGCAACTAAATTTTAATTTTAGAGTCTAAAATATAGAGTTTTTTTTAATTTTAACTGATTAACTAACATATTAATTAAATTAATAAAAGTTTGAAATTGAGTGACAATAGATTGACAATAGACAATAAAACAAATGAGCAAATTATTTTTAAAATAAAAATATCTTAAATTTTAAAGTCTATATTTTATTTTATTTTCATATATCTAGCATAAGACATAGTTAATTATTTGATTTACACTTAAAAAGAAAAAAAAAGTAATTTAAATTATACATTAATATTAACATATATAATAAATATATATATTTATGTATGAAGCTTCACATATTGAACCAAAACAACAATAATAATATTGTCACCATTACCAACTATAACCGTAAAGGCAATAACAACAATAATAATAACAACAATTATATGTATATATATTGTATATGGAAACAATTTCTTAGGTGTTCTACAAAGAATCAAATGTGAAGCAGGTGGACGTTCCAACATTGAGTGGGGACTTTGGTATCTTACCCCAACACGTTCCCCTGCTGGCTGTCCTGAGGCCCGGGGTCATAGCAGTCCACGAAGCCGACGGAGCTATGAAAAAATATTTCGGTTAATGCCCCATACTTAATATAGTAATGTTGTAGTAGATATATTTGTATGATGTGTACATCCTATACTTAATTGTATTTACATGCACTTGGCATTTGTTGTAATAGTAATAATAATAATACCTGCCATTGGCTATATAAATTCACATTATTATTATTATTATTATTATTGTTGTTATTATTATTATTACGTAACCATGGTGTAATAGATATGTTTATATAACTTGAACATTCAATACCAAATGTAATAATTATATAATGGATGATATATTTATTAAAAGTGAATGATTGGTACACAATGTAAGCATGATATAGTGGATGTGAAGTTGCTAAATATAGCATAGATAACACAGAGATTTCCATTTTTGAGGTTCTTTGTTGGAGGCGCTGCTATACAAATCATCGAACGCATAAATAAAAAATTTCATTTTTGGCCTGTACAAATGTGATCCTTGTCGAAATTCTAGCCATATTATTTGCATATTGACTTTTTAGTTTGAGTCAATTATAAGTTATTGTATTATTATTATTTGGTTGCTTTTGTAACTACCCTGATATTGCTGTAACATTGTCATACATTGGTTTATTATTATTTTTCATTGTTCACTGCTTTATTTATGAATAAAGAAACACATGTTAATTGATCTTTTTGCATGTTATTTTCTGTTTGAGATCTCATTAATTGCCATTCTAGTTTAGTTTTTTTTTTAGGTTTTTTTCTTAATAAACTGCTTATCCTAATTAGTTAATTAATTATGTAATTAATTATTTAATTATGTATTTAATTAATTAATAGTGTAATTTAATTATTAATTTTATAGTTAGCAGTGGTTCAGTCACAATAAATGATGACTCATCCGTACAAATATTGGCAGAGGAGGCTTGCCCGATTGATCACCTCGATGCACAAGTTTTTTAGTTTTTTTATTTTCAAAATTTTATTCTATTTAATAAAATTATAATTTGCTTTTTAGTTTTACTACTTCATTATTATTATTATTATGTTGAAAAAAATGGCTGGTGATTTTTTTTCAAGAACAACAATTTCTATCTCCCATTGCAGCCTATCTTTTAACTTTTTATTTTAACCGACTCTTCATTTATCTCTTTTATTCATTTTGTTTTTCAAAGTTAATGAAACATAATAAATAAGTTTTTTCTATTCTTCGTAGACTCTATGGTTACAATCGAAACTGCTACCATTAATTCTCATTATTTTTTAAACTTAAATAAAACGGATTGTAGTTAATTATTTTCAATAAGTTTTTACGAAACAAAAAGAATTATTAAACTTTCATCTATGCCTCCATAGAACAAAGAACTATTAACATTTGTCAGGCAATCAGAGACGGGGCAACATCGGCAGCCCAGGATTTGTTGTCAGCCTCTTCGGAGCAGTCGAAGGCCGAGGCACAGATCGCGTTGGAATGTTACGACGCCTTACAAAAAGCCGTCGAGCAAGCCCACCGTTGAACGTTAAATTTGTGGTGATTGGTGAGAGGTGATGTGCTGGGGTTCGTTTGCTCGTGATGATGACGACAACGACGTCATGCCTGCTACGATAGTTTTGCCGATGATATGATAATGTTAAATATTAATTTTACTTGTTTTATGACACGATTGCATATGATTATAAATAATAGTGTGTTTATTATCTCTTCAAAAAAGTGTCGAGCTTTAAATTTATCGAATGTTGGTAACAAAAAATGTAAAGGTCCTTGCGTTTGTTACATTCGCTCTCCTTGAATCTCATGATCATGTGATAAGAATTGAACTGCATAATGCGGGCTTTCGTCTGTGATATAAATGTGTGTATGTACAATACAGCGCGAAAATTAATTTATAAAGTTATGTTCAACTACGCTCAATTTCCAGAGCATGGAAATGTATAATTTGGCAATGGAAATACCGACTTTTATGATATAAAGTGTCTTGAATCGGGTGAATAGTTATCATTGTGGTACCTACTACTACTGAACACGCTGTGACCTAATCAGTTTTGAAATGTTCCGCTGATATGTTAAATTAAGCTGGTAGTTTATTTTACAAGATTCCTCTAGGAGATTTATGGCTCCGTATTGCTAGCAGCATTTTTATTAAAATCAGTAAAACAGTTTTGAGTCACAAATTGGCGTAATATGCAAAAAAGGTCACCAGCCTCATTTTAGCCGTATTTATATTAATTTGGTTAGTTTATCGGCCATTCGCCGCCAAATTTCAAAGTTTAAACGTTATACAAATTTTGGCCCGTCAAAGTTGTCTAGATCGGCCTCTGCCATCTATTGTACGTGAGTATGTGCTACAGAAAAGAAGATCGATGTGAACCGTGCCTTTACAGACCAGTCAGCTTAACAAGCATTGTATGTAAAGTAAGACTAGAGAAAATAATCAAAAGTCGGATCATAAAACACTTATCAAATAATAATATAATTGGTAAAAGTCAAATCTGCTGGAGTTTTTTTTGAAAAGGTTTATGCCAACTTTGATAAGAATAAATACGCAGACGAAGTATATTTTGACTTTGCCAAGGTATTTGATGAAGTCCCACATAAGCAATTGCGCATAAAATTAGAAGAGGCAGAAATAGGAAGAAACTTACTTGATTGGTTAACTAATTGGTTGACCCAGAGAAGACAAAGAGTTAGCATCAAAGGAAACTATTCGAAATGGGTGGATGTTAAAATAAAATATTAGATATTAAAATGAATAACAACCTATATTTTAAAATTAATTTTAAAATATAGGTTGTTATTCATTTATTTATTCATTTTAATATCTAAAAAAATTAATAAAATTAATTTTAAAATATAGGTTGTTATTCATTTATTTATTCATTTTAATATCTAATATTTTATTTTCTATTTCTTATAATTTATATTATTAACTCCTCATTTGGTTTTACAATCTAGGCTCCGACGATGGCATTAGCCGAAACGGCCGTCAGCCAAACTTCACAGTTTAATAAAGTTGAAACAAAACAGCTTCGTGTTGTTGAAATTTTATTTAAAAAACTTCTAACTGCAAAATGGGGTGTAATCTTCAACCGAACATGTTTATCTGAGAACCTCATACCAAATTATATATATATATATACATATAAGATAGAAAATAAATTTAGATCTATGCTTCAAATTTCTTTTCCGTAAAAAGAATTTTCGTTTCTTTGTTCGATTCAGATCGCCACTATCTCCGCTTTTTTTTCATTTTTACAAAAAGATTTAGAAGATGGCGTCGTTTGATTCGGACGCTCCAATGAAACAGTGCATCACGGTTATAGATAAGAAAGTTAGGAATTTGGAAAAGAGGAAGGTTCGCGTTTTTCTGTTTAATCCGCCTTTTTATAAATTCACGCTCACTTTCTTGCATTTTTCCACCACTAATTGGCTGCTTCTCACGTGCTCTGCCCTTTTTCTTTTGTCACATAATGTTCACTTCTGTTCATTCATCCATGAAATTATAAATGTAAGTTATAAAAAATTAAATAAACGTTTCATTTCGTGCTTTTTTTATGGTTAAATTTAAACGGCAAAACTGGTCTGAATAGAAAGTTGAATTGGAGAACAAAACATGAAAGGAAACCAAAAAAATTATTTATAATATTTTTCAATTATTAAATAAAAATCTTTATTTGTTCCAAATTCAAAAATTTGCAGCAAAAGTTAGATTTGTATAGAAGCAAAGAAAAGGAAGGTGGCATACTTGATAAAGATCAGCAGGTATTTTTTTAGCAATTTGAAATAAAATTATTAATTCTATTGTTAAAGTTCTTTGTTCTTTTAATAAAATTTGAATTAATAAATAGGAGACATTTTTTTAAATCAATTTAGAAATTTACTTATCGAATGCATTTGTCAGTTTGAGTTAATATTAGTTGTATAATGTAAGTATATCGAATGTTATGATTATTGTTTTTAAACTTTTTAAAATTTAATTGTGTTTTTTCATCAAATTAGGAAGCAATCTCCAAATATGATTGCGTTGTTCAGAATTTGGAATTCTCAAAAGATATACAGAAACAGTTCCAAGCTATCAGCGCTGACGTTAGCTAACTAATTTTTTATTTTTACCTAATACACATTTTGCTCTAAATTTAAATAAAATGGATACAACTGATCGTCTAATTTGGCGCAAAATGTTGATGGCAAAGAAAACAGCGTACTACCTCTTGGAACTGGGTCTCTGGACGCTAAACGAAGATTGATTGATTAATACACATTTTATTAATATTTTTTGAGATATTATGTCTTAGTTAACTGCACATATTGTCATTTTCTTTTCAGAGTGAGAAAGTGCTTCGTAAGCAGGCCAAGAGAGACAAGATCGAACGGCAGAATCAAGAGATCAGTAGGTTCAAGGAGATTCTGAAGTTACAAAAGGTTTTTGTCTGTCTGTCTGTCGGTTTATTTGTATGTCTGTTTGTCTGTCTGTTTGTTGGCTTGTTTGGTCATTCATTTGTTTTTTCATCCATAAAAAATATAAACCAACCTATCATTAGTTCATTCACTCATTCATATATACATGCATTCTATAAGGATATAGATGCAATAATTTCACCACCATCACCAACAACAACATATAAATCTTTACCAGGTTCTCAGTCATGTAGATAGTGAGTTAATGAAGCCTGATTTCAAATCAGGCAGGTTGTACAAACATCTGGTGAACATCAGTACGAACAACGATGAACAGCAGTTGAAGATGGTTCGTGAGTTCAAGCAACTCATTGAGTCTTCTAAGACGGCTGGAACAAGGTTGGTTGGTTGGCTGACTGGTCGATTGGTTTGTTAGTTGGTCTGTCAGTGATGGTGGGGTAGCTCTTCCATGATTGATCGTTTGATTGGTTGGTTAGTTGTTTGACTTGATGGCTGATTGGTCAGTTTGTTGACTGATTTTATTTTTGGATGCTTTATTAGTAAATTAGACTTGCTCATTGAGCTAATGATGAGTTGATGGTTGAGTTTGTTGATTGCATTGCATTTTAGATTTGTAAAGCATCTCTATTGAGCTATCTTCAGAGGCACTAATTGTGCTTCGTTTTGTTGAAAAAATGAAGTTTGGTTGGTTAACTTACTATTTAGAGTTATATGTTTTAATTGAGTGAATGAGTTGGTGAATTATGGAAGAATGAAAACATAAATTAGTTAACCATCATCATCTGCTTCTTCATTAGCTATGCCTGCCAAATGCAAGCTGCAGCAGAACACTTGTTCCTATATTTAGAAAAGTCGGAGAAACCCGTCGTAGAATCTCTGACCTACAAGGATGTTTCCCAGTTGGTCGATGGCATCTTCGAAAGTGCTTACTTTGATAGCGAAGATGATGTCGACAACAGTGGCGACGGCTGTGGTGTTGGGGATGTGACTTGTAAGGAGGAACATTGCAAAGTCGACAGCAATGGAGACGGTCAGTTTGTATGTTTGTTTATTTGTTTGTTTGTATGTATGTATGTATGTATGCATGTTTGTTTGTATTTTGTAGCAGCTTTTGTATTTGTGAAGGATGTTGGTCTGGGAGTAAGCGGTAAAAAGCAATAATCACATAGATCTCATGTTGTTAGAGCATTATTTAAGGCAATTGGAGCTTCTTGCATTGGTTAATGTTACTAGTTATGTTGTGTGAATGTTAGGCACTAACCAATGGTTAATATTTAATAACAAAAATTCCACAGTTGTCACTTCCAATGAGCAGCACCAGCCTTTAGACCTTCAGCAACAACAACAGCAGCCACAGCAACAACAACATTTTGAACCAACGACGGCAGCTTCACTAACGTCAGCGGCGACAGCAGCAACAACAACAACAACTGTGGCACTGACTTCTCAAGTTGGCAGCGCTGTCATCGTTGATGCTGCAGTAGTTTCTATGTCGTCGTCGACCACGAATCAGTCAGGCAATAATGAGAATGTGGAGGGTGTCATCGTTGGAAGCCGTGATGCTGAAGGTGTGGCTGGGACAGCTGCCGCTGCCACAGATGGAAAACAGAGCAATGGTTTTTGTGAGTTGTTTTTGTTGTCTTGTGAGTTTGTTGATACAACTGATGATGCTCTGTTTAATTAAGCTTTAAGTTACAGTGGCAGTTTTTGTTGATGCCTTTAAATTTATTATTCTTATTATGATTATTGTTGTTATTATTGTCATCACCATCAAATGAACTTATTTTTATTTTTATGCCAACCCCAAAAAACAGATCCACATGGTACTCACCACCACCATCACGCTCCTCATCACCCCCATCACCACCTCGCTCACCAACAAGCTTCCCACCTCCCTCATCATCAACAACAACAATTTGTTGATGTGGCTAATGGCAGTAACGCTCAACAGCCACCACAACAGCCACAACCACAAGGTGGAGCCATGATGTGGTCGAGGCAGCAACTTGAACAGCAACAGCTAGCCAGTCAGGTAAGTAATGACGATTCTGATTTCTATTTATTTTAACTAGGCAGTGCGGTGGTGTAATGGTTACGGCGCCTGGCATCGTTGTTGCAGCAATTAGGTTCGAATGTGGAAAGATCCTTGTCTATCGTGCAGGGAATTTAAAAAAAATTCTATTTATAATTATTTTATAACATTATCAGACATTTAATTCCCAACAAACCCATCAGCCTATGATGAGCAGCAATACTAGCCAATCAGCAGCTGCCCCAGTGAGAAACACTGACCAATCATCATCTTCAGTGACTCCGATATTCAACCAGGCGATGCCCACGGTGCCCGCCAGCAACCGCATGCCAATTTCGTACTTTGGATCTGGGGGGTTCGGGAACGGTCGACCGAGGCCACTCCAAGAAATAGTGTCGGCAGTTCAGGGAAAGTATAATTTCTTGCAAGAGTCTTTGATCGATAAACACAGTTCGTATGTTTGTCTGTTTGTTTATGCGCATGCTTATACGTGTACCTGTGGTTAATTACCCTTCATTCATGTGTATGTGTGTGTTTTGTTACATGTGTATATGTGTTGTGTGTTTTTTTTAGGTTCTAATGTGTTTGTTCTTATGCACGCACCTCATGGTTTAGTGGATGGTTGAGAAGTTAAATTTATTTGATCTGTTTTCATTTGATCTGAATGTCAAACGTTTTCTTAGATGATCGTAGCAGTACGAACAGCGTCAGCATCTCGTCGTCTGCAACGATGTCGGCAACATCTCAACAGCAGCAGCAGCAACAACAACATCATCAGCAGCAACTACAGCAGCAACAACAACATTTAATAAATGACAACAATAGCAACAACAACAACAACAGTTATGAACACCCAACTTCTGCTTACCTCCATCACCAACAACAACAACAACAATATGCTTCTCATGTCCAGCAGCGGCACGATCAACAACAACCACAACAACATCTCCATCATCATCAACAGCAACAACAACAACTGAAGCGTGATGTTGATGACAATGATACAACCGCCAACATTGGTCAGGATGATTACCATCACCTATCTTACCAACAGCAACAACAACATCAACAACATCTTCAACAACTTTACCATCAAAGATTACCCACATATGGAGATAGAACAGTTCAGGTATATTCTGTGCTGTCGATGTTGTTGTTGTTGATGTTTATTTTGTTTATGTTGTTGTTGATGTCGTTTTTGTTGATGTTGATAACCCAGATAGCATGGTCCATACGCGTGAACTGTGTAATTTTTACATTTACAAAATATTCATATTTTAAAAAATTATTCTCCACAAAAATTGACTGACAAACAAACACAGAGTGCATTAAAATTTAATTCTAAAATGATTTTAGATCCAGTGCACATACTTCAGCTCTTCCACGCCAACTTTTGCTACGGCACTGTGTGCTGTGATTGTTTAGCTACTATGGTTGGTGATTTGATGTATGTATGCTTTGTATCATTCATTGAGGTTGGCAGCTGCAATTGTATTGTGGATAGCAATTGATCCATCCACAATTTTTTTTAAATGTTCTCATTCGTGTTTGTTAACCCCGACCCGACGAGCATTGCGCATATCTCAGCAATTGTGATGGTGCACTGGCTTCAATAGTCGGGCCTCGAATTTAATTACATTTCAATTGTCTTTTGTAAAAAAAAGAAAACCAATCATGGTCATCAATCAACCAATCATGTATTATACCAGAACAAGATACTAAATATGAAGGAATATTAACCAAATGCATGAAAATACATCAATTAAAAACATTAATATTTATTATTAAACAAAAATGTATAACCTTGCTATATGCTAATTCTATATCTGAATGGGATTATGGATTGGAAGACTTATTTAAATGTAATTAAATTTTCATGTAACTCTCACATGTTTTTGTATGTATGTATGTATGTATGTATGCATCCATGTATGTATGTATGTGTGCATGCATGCATGTAAGTAACTCTCACTTTTGTCATGCTAACTATGTAAAAAATATTTCACCCTATCATAAAAATATCGTAAAAAATGCGTGAAAATATCCAGTAAATAATGGCTATGAAGAATAAAACAGTAATAATCTTTTTACGTGAACAATATTCAAAGCAGGTCTATTTGAAGTAAAAAATTTGAATAAATATATTTTCAGATATATAGATGTTTTTGATTGGTGACCTATTCATTCATTCATTCATTCATTCATTCATTCATTCATTCATTCATTCATTCATTCGCTTTTTGTTCATTTATTTGTTCTGCATTCGTTTATTCATTCATGTCTTTCGTAATTGTATGCATAAGCTGGTCATCAGGCAACCAGATGACGAGATAAGGTAAATTACTGCCACTTAAATGCAACTGTCCTTGAATTTGATGGCAATAAACATGTTCCTTATTGACACAATTACAAAATCATGTGCTGACGCGAAACAAAACAACATTCAAATCAAAACAAAATCAAAATTGAATTTAATACCCTTCGCTAAAAGTTTCAGGGCATCATTACTCGAGCTTAGTTTGCTAAGATTAACAACGTTTGAATTTGGATTCTTATTTCCAGTTTCATTCATAGCAAAAGGAATGCAGTGATAAAACTTGTCCCACAACATTGTACACTTTGTCTTTCTTGCTAACTTCCACTCCTCTCATTATTCCTAATGCTTTATCAGATTTCATGGACTGAACATTGCCAGAGCTGTAAGAATTTTATTCCATTTTTCAGAAATCTTACGTTTTCTTCAAAAAAAAAAAAAACTTAATTCATCAATATTACTTATGTGTTTCGTAGCCATAATGAGATTAATTAAACAAATATATTAATTACGGTTTTTAAATTATATTTAATTATTAAAAATTATATCTTGTCCTGGTTATGACATTAAACTGACCCTCACTGCCTTGTGAGTGATGTTGGATCATCAAAGGCTAGACCCACAGCTTATAACTGTGGTTGCGTAAGGAAGGGGGTCCTGCATAAAAATTAGCCAAATAAATTACTTATGATGGAATGGCGTCAAGGGGTATTTCGGTTTCATTATAGGTAGCCAAACAGCAACCCCCGATCTCGGGGAAAATGTCGTCTAAACGTGTGTTGTTGTTTTAAATTATATCGCTTAAATAACTTTTTTAAAATTTTCCTTTGAGAATATACATCGGTTGTAAAAGTTGTTTGGTATTCCCTTCTAGTGGACACCCCAGCTTTTCTTGCCGATTGTTTTCTATAGTTTTTGATGTCAATCCAGTGTTATGCCATTTTGCTGCCAATTTTTATTCATTAAATTATTAACAATTTCCATTTTTCCTCATATTAACATCTGAATTATTTAAAATATTGTTATATCTTTGTTGTTTTAAATAAATTATTTAAATTATTTCTAAATTTTTTAAAAAGAAACTCCAATAATTTTGAAATTTATTTCTTGGTCAGTGATAACCTCCTTATTGAACTCATTCATCTGCGGAAATTATCCTGTATTGAAGTTATAAGTTCTATAAAACAAATTTTCTAAGCAACATTTACCAAAAAACTGGCAATTTGATTTTTTTTGTTCTGCATTGTTGATGTTGTACAACTCGATATTTCTACAGCACTCTCTACTGTTGGTTCAGTTACGTAAAAAAAATACAGTCGACATGTGATCAGAAAGTATCACAAGTGAAGGATAGGAGGAGTAGTACAGAGCTGATGTCAATGATGGGACTGAATGAGGACATTGTGACATTGATAAGGAGATCGAGATTGCGGTGGTATGGACATGTGTTGAGAAGGGATGAAAGGGTCGGGATTAGGCGAGCGTTGGAGTTCGAGGTTGAAGGAGTGGTAGGAAGGGGTCGTCCGCGGTTGGGATGGAGAGAGCAGGTGGAGAAGGACAGGGTGAAAGCGGGGTTGCGAGATACTGAGGCGAGTGACAGATGTGGATGGAGTCGAGGGGTATTTCGGTTTCATCATAGGTAGCCAAACGGCAACCCCCGATCTCGGGGAAAATGCCGTCTAAACGTGTGTTGTTGTTGTTGTGTTGTTTATGTGATCAGAAAGTATTAAAGTGTATATTTTTATAAGTGTTAGAGAGATTAGTTACCATTGCTTGTGTCTAATGGTTAAAACGAGCGTTGTCTCAGTCTGGGTTGGAAAGATGTCATTATCACAGGCAAGCGGATAACTTTTTGAAACTTTAAAATTGTATACAGGGTCTTTTGGACAGTAAGCAACAGCAACCGCCGTCTTCGTCGTCGTCTGTAGTCCCATCATCGTCGTCGTCATCTATGCCGACAGCCAATAGCAGTGTAGGAAGTCATCACAATGTCCCTCACTCGTCTATGGCTCCGACTATTGGCTACCCCTCATTCCACTTGCCACATCCCATTCCTCTGCCCAACCAATCAGAGAGCGAATTTTTGCAGCAAGTTGAGGTTGGTGGCCTGGTCTATTAATCTTACTTTATTCATTCATTATCGTCGTCGTCATTTCATTCAACATTTGATCTTCATCTCACTCATCTCCATGCTTTGGTCGTCAGTTTCACAATCATATCACTCTCTTCATCATCTCATCAACAGATATCCAAATCCCAGTACACGATGAACCCGCATGCAAATATTTTTCGCTCCGGTTACCAGTCACCACCCTCCCTGTCTTCGTCAGCCAATCAGAGCGAGGATCAACAGCAGCCCTCGGACCAATCACAGCAGCAGCTGGCATCCGATAAAGTGAAACCAGACGGAGATAAAGTTACTACTGCCACGACAGCCGCTTCAACTGCTTCCTCCATCTCTAACAAAATTAATATTACGACGGCCGCTAATAATGCTGCTACTACAAGTACTACACTAGGTAGTAATGTTGATAGTGGAAAAATTGGAGGCGCTAGTAATGCTGTCAGTGAAGAGAAAAAGTCATTTGTTCAGCATGTTGCTGGTACTACAAATAGTAGTAATACTATTAGCAGTAGTGGTAGTACTGCTACTGCGGGCGTTAGTAGTAGTGGCGGTAGTAGTAGTAACACAAGTAGTGGTCTTGCTAGTGGGGATGGTTCAAGCAGAATGCTGCAAGGTGAGCAGTTGTTGTG